AACCATTGTAGTACGGCAAAAATATAGAAAAATATACTGTCCAAGAATAATACATAATAAACAGTAACATAATTCGTTTGAAATCGACCTCTCGAATTCTTCTAAATAATATTTTATTCTAAATAAATAAAACCGAAATTTTTTAATATTATGACGTATATATATGTATTACGAATGGTTAATGTGGATTTTGAAAAGAAAAAAAAAGTATATTATGCATAACAAATATTATTGTCAACGTTTGAATCGTGACCTATATTTTATTTTATACATACGCTGCTTGTTTACAATGATTGTTTGGAAGTACCTAGATTTCCTCGATTTCGTTATTATACGTCATAATATTTCCACTTTGTGTAGTGGATTTGCATCGCAGGCGACCGACCAATCACGACGAGACCTACGACTTCGCTCGACTTGCTACGAATAAGAATGTATTTTCGATTTTTTCTGGTTCTGATTATTAACCAAAATATTTAGTTAATTATACTATAGCAATAAATTAAAATACCACATAATCATAGTTGTACTGCGCGTTATCGGTTTACCGGTGGGAAATGTTTGTTTGAATTTAGTTCTTTTTTCTACGAGTTCCAAATCGGTAATACATAATATTTTAACAACAGTAATACGGACCGGTAGACTTTTTAGTAAGTTTTTCATACACACACAAAAGTATAATATAAATTCGTGAGCACGCGATTTAGTATATTATATTATACCGTCTTACGAGACGATATCGCTGTCGTTAAAATATAATAATATTGATATCACATTATTAAGTAGGTCATGTACGCACATAACATATTTATACAAAGTCAATACTATTATTATTATGAAGGCATGACAAATTTGGAGCATGATAATAATTTATTTGTGTACTCATTAACACTAATAATAATAATATTATTATTGTTATCTCGGAACTAGCGACATACTGCAGTTAAAAACAAATTTATTATTTCTAGAAAGTATAAGTACATAGACTTTTGGAAAGTTCAAATGTTTGTATCAGCTCAAGCTTAAAACAGAATTTTAAGCTTGAGCTGATAATTGAAGAAAATTGAGAAGAAATGGGGATTATTTAATATAAACCGACGGTCGACATGGTGAATTAATCATTCTTATCAATATTATTGTATTCACACTATCTGTCCTAGTCCTACACGTCATGATCAAACAACGGTGAGAATATTTCGGTTTACACAACATAAATAGTTTATACGTAACCATGGTCATGTTACCACGAACTCGTTGGATTAGATAAGTGACAATTTTATAGTGAAAGGTTGTCGGTTACTTCAAAAAAATAACCGGTGGTAGGATATTTCCATCAGATATTCGTTTGATAATATTAGCTAACCCCCTCCTATAATGAACTAATTATCTTTTATCTTGTTATCATTGTTTGTTAAATTAATATTTATAACAGGTGAAATTAATTAGGAGAGGTAATATGAGGAGAGTGGATTATAAATAAATTGTAACCGTCCATTGGGGATGGTCACAAAAAAGTGTGTTGTGACCAAAGTGATCGGTTTGTTAAGACGAATTTTAATTTTATCATCTATCCTAATTTTAAAGGGAAATAGTCATCGATTACAAGTATGAATTTCCGGTTTTTAAACATAAAACAATACATAGTATAATATAATAGTATTTTAAGTAATTATTATTATTTTCACAAGTCTCCGTTGGCCGGCGCGTTGTATAGGCAATTTCGATACATTTCGGCCAGTAACTACTGCGAAACTGTGTGGCGTTCTAATAATATGTATAAGTAAAACTCACTTATGACTGGTATCATAGTCATAATATTGCAGTATTTATTTATTTATTAATTAATCAACGCCTGTTAGGGCAATTTTAACAAAGGTAAAGCAATTTTTGAAACACCATTATAACATTTTTTTTATACAATTAGTTTAGGAAAAAAAAAAAAAAAAAAAATTCACAGAATAAAGTATAATTAGGATTGTAGCAGTGTTGGTAACTAGAACTAACCTAAGAAAAGGTGGTAGACTCATTTGCCAGACGCATTAGCCTGTCCATGGGGCGATTGCGACTATAATTGGAGGTACGAAAGGGGATGACAAATGGTGCAGTGGAACGTGTGGAATGTTGAGGTACACGAAATTTTATGCAGGAAAGGAGAGTAGGTGCATCATATGTACCATCAATAATTCGCTGAAGGAATTTAAGATTTACATTAGCTCTTCTGTCAGCTAGGGTATCTAGGCATAGTTCACGTAGGACAGGTGTGTAGTCGTGAATAGGGTTGATTTTCAGGACACGAGCTGCAAAGTAGAGGAAGAGCCTCTGAACACTCTCAATAATTAATGAGTCAGATGCAGTGTAGGGATCCCATAGTACGCAAGCGTATTCTAATAAGGGGCGGACTAGAGAGCAATAGAGAGTTTTTAATGAGAGGGACAGTTTAAAATCGGATGAAACACGTCTTATAAATCCTAACATCTTATATGCTTTGCAACCGATCGATTGAAGATGAGGGTGGTAGTTAAGATTACTGGTGAGAAGAACCCCTAGGTATTTTTTACTTGTAACAGATTCAAGCACAGTATCATTGATGGTATAGTTGTGAACTATGACATTTTTGCTGCGATAAAAAGACATTGATTGACATTTGCTGACATTTAAGAGGAGGCCGATAGAGTTTATCCATATAACTAGATTATTGAGTTCGACTTGCAGTGCAAGACAGTCCTCCGTAGATTCAATTTGGCGAAAAATTTTAATGTCATCAGCAAAGGCGAGGAAATTACAATTAGGGATGATTTTTTTTATTTCATTGATGAATAATGTAAAAAGAACGGGTGAAAGATGGCCACCTTGGGGAACTCCCGAGGTGATAGGAAGGACCTCAGACTTACATCCATAGATTTTTACAAATTGGAATCTACCGGACAGATAAGATTTGAACCATGACAGAAGAGGTTCGCCAAACCCAGATTTGTAGAGAAACTCGGAAAGGAAGTTGTGGTCAACTCGATCGAAGGCTTTGGCGAAATCAGTAAAGATTACATCAACCTGGGATTTATTATCGAATGCTTCTAATACAAAGTTGTTAAAGACAGTTAGGTTCATAGCTGCGGAGCGCCCTGGTCTAAAACCATATTGTTCATCGATTAAGATTGCATTAAGAGATGGCTGTATGTTAAGTAAAACTAGAGATTCAAATAATTTCGCTATATGACTTAGTATGGAGATGGGTCTGTAGTTTCTAACGACGTTCGATTTGTCACCAGACTTGAAAATGGGAGTAACTGAGCTTAATTTCCAGATCGACGGGAATATACCTTCGTCCAAAGAACGCCTAAATATCTGAAATAGAGGAACACACAGAAAAGACTTAAGGTTATATAAGAAAGTACCTGGTAGACCATCAGGCCCAGTGGAATTCACATTCTTTAATTTAGCAAGACCAGCCTCAACGTCAGCTACACTAAAATTGCAATTACTTGGCAATTCGTAATATAAGAAGGGGAAGTCATCTGGATAGACAGGAGAAGGGGCAGTAAAAACGGAATTGAAATAGGATGAGAATAAATTAGAGACGGGGACAGAACCAGAACTAGTGCATTCATCAAAGTATACATTTTCAGGAATATCGCTGTTAGATTTATTTTTACGAACAAAGTCCCAGAATGATCGTGGATTGTTTATGAAGTTATTTTCGGTGCGTGTTAGGAATGCTTTATAACAGCGTTTTGATTCAAATTTATACTGTGCACGGAGGTTAGAGAAGTGAGTGTAATCTAGTGGCTTATTGGAGGACCTATAGACCGCGTGTGCTTTCTTTTTTGCGAGAACAATGGATTTTAGATCTTTTGAGAACCAGGAGGGGAACTTGGACTTAACGTATCTGTTCTTAGGTACAAATTGTAGGATAGAAGAGTGGAGGGCATCGTAAAGTGCATTTGTGGCTGAATCTACGTTAAGATTGTTAATGGTTTCAGGCCAGTTGAATGAGTTTAGAAAATTAAGTATTTTTGGGTATGAGGTTTTCCTGAAGTTAAAGTAGGTATGTGACTTATCGAGAGAAGGAGTATCTGTTAAAATTGGAAGAGAGATGTCAAGCGCAGGGTGGTAAGAATCGGAGGGCACGACATTAGATGAAGATTTATCGATGTATATGTTTTTGTTGTTAGAGAAGACGAGATCAAGATGTTTACCTTGATTGTTAGACACGTTATTTAGCTGGAAGAAATTTAGATACGAGAAGGTTTCGGGAAGACAGTGACTTGATGGAGAGGAGTATAATAGACCATAGTTATCATTGGACCATGAGATGTTTGGTAGGTTGTAGTCCCCGCAAAATAAGAATGTGCAGTTAGTATTAGCTAAAGCAATAGTTTGAACGGATGATACATGAGATTCATATATGGTTAAGGTACTGCTAGGTGGAATATAAACCGAGGAGAGAATAAATGAGATGTTCTGAGTAGAGAATTTAACGAATAGGTGTTCAACATTGGTGGAGGAGGGTGATATGCGTAGGCAGCGTATATCTTTACGGACAGCAATGAGAGTACCACCACCTCTACGTAGACTACTTGTAGATGGATTTCTGTCACATCTAAATATGACGTAATTTTCCAGGCCTAGTTCATTGTCACCAATACTCTCACATAACCACGTTTCAGTTAGACAGATAAAAATATAATTAAATACAGCAACATTACATTTAAAAATAGTGAGCTTGGATCTAAGACCCCTACAGTTTTGGTAAAAACCAATGGGTACCTGCGCTTTGTTGGGAGTATTAGGTATGTCTACAAGAGTATGGTGAATTAGATTGGAAGTGAGGGAGTATCTGGGTTGGATATTTAATAAACCATTTTTAAGGAGTTGGTGGTATGTTCTAGACGAATGTATACATAAATTACATTGGTTGGAGGGGGGTAGAGGCAAAAAACAGCTAAAATTAGACAAATGAGAAAATTTACATGATGAATTATGGTTATTAATGTGTATGGCTGCTACTTCTCTGAGTTTTTTGACTGGTGTGATATGTTGGTCCTGGCTGGAACAATCTTGGGTAATCCATTGAAGTAACGGATTGAGATGTTGGATTCACCCTTTTCTTGTCTATCACGTAGTTCCTGATGTACTTCATAAATTGAACGTCTTTCGGAGGGTGTGCGATCCCTGGTGATAGATACCTGGGAATACCCGTCAGGAATGTTGGAGCGAAGACGTAGAAAGGATATTACTACATGGTTCACCTCCTCCTGAGAGGTGAGTTCTACTTTTAATAGTCGTGGTTTGTCATTGATAATCTTTCCAACCCTAAAAACTTTGCGAATTACCGTTTCAGGCAGTTTGGGCTCAAGTTTATCCAACATTTCTTTGACAAATGTTTTGTCTGCTGAGGAGGAAGAGGCAGATGTATTGACAGATGACTCAGGTACACCACGAATAATGATGTGAACAGCACAACGGGATCGTAGCTGGATTTCATGAGTAATGTCATTCAGAGCAAGAGGAGTAGTAGTAGGTGGTGGACAATGCACGGTTTCGGACAAGCTTTTTTCTACTGCAGCGATTCTTGTATTTAATCCTCCAATAATTGCACCTTGCGACTTTACATCGCTGGTTACAGTATTTAAATTTCCGTTTAAGGTGTTCATCGCTTGACTAAGTGACGTCATAGTTTTAGCTTGCCCCGAGACTCTATCGTTTAACGCTTTAACCGAGGAAGAGATAACCTTTAGAGCTTCGTCTGATTTGGATTGGTTAGATTTGATAGATTTTAATTCTTGCAAAATGAGGTTGAACTTGTCGTCGGTACTTGTTTGACTGGGGAGGGAAGTACAATCGTTACAGATCCATTGTGAATTATTTGAAGTATCATTGACACAGGAAGAGTGGAAAAGGTTGTTGCATTTGGGGCAGCATGTTGTGGGTTGATCACGTTGTAGAAGTTCCGTACAGATTCCGCAGTTAGTACGACCCATTTAGGGAGTATTACCCCTTTGGCAGATTGAAACGCAACACAAGTTGCACAACGGTGTGGCAGAATTATAATAACTATAAGGTTTGAATAGGATGGTGTGTCGCAAATGTGGTAGACGACCGTTAAAGTCACCAGATAAAAATCGGTGGGCGGGGATATTGATATGTTGGACAGCTGTTTATAAGAGTGATAGTAGATAATTCGATAACTTACTCAGGCGAGAATGGTGTGACGACGGAAGAAAAACTTGAAGCAATATAGAAGTTGACAGAAGCAAACGAGATGCAACGACTCACGTAGAAACTTAAGATCACTATGAATGCAAAAAGTACAAGTAACTATTAAAGAGATAAATATTACTATATAAAACTTAATAAAAGAAAAAAGAGCTACTGTAGATAGCAGCTCTGTTATCGATATTGTTGTTAAGTGTCGGGTAGAGGTATTTTTGTTCGTACCCATAAGCCGATTTGATAATAGCAGATATGGTTTATACAGGTATAAACATTTAATATCATAATAATATACCTTATATACCGCACGCCACCATATTAAATTCGTTCGCTCGTGTCGATACTGTTGCTGTGAACTTTGATCGTATTTCAAGAGGACATTGATTTCAATATTCTCAATAACAACGACATTAAGCAGTATTAATATCATATAATGACATAGTATATATATCGCGTACAGCAATAATTATAATACACAGTCGTCTTATTAATATTGTATTTCGCCAAACGCGAGATCAGTATATTATTATTATTATGATTATTATATTGCTTTGCGCCATAATAATATTTTATAATATATAGTCGGATCGATTTGACCACTTGGAATTTATTAATGCATTTATTTTTATGATACCGGCCGCAAACTAAATTATGGATGAAAAAATGCACTCGTACTGCACCGATGCGACGACCGCACACGTATAACAATATAATTGCATTTCTAGTGGCCACGTGTACGACCCAGCGGTAAAAAAAATAATAACTCCATGCGAGGGTGCACTCTCTCTCGCTCTTTTTCTCTCTTTCGCACACACACGCACAAACCACCCACCAACCCACTCATACCCACACGGTCCACAATGGGTCTTGTAACGCGCGTATACATGCGTTTACCCGTAAATACGTTATAATAATAATGTAAAATAAACAAAATAATATACGAGTGAGCGTATTATACCATTACTCCGTACCTACTCGTAACAATATCAGTATAATAATTGTCGTGTCCACGGTTGTGATAATAATATATGCAAGATAGAAAAATGTACTATACGTATACCGTCCAATCTGCCTTGCGCTCCGGTAGTTCGTGATGATAATATTATAATGTAAATTATTAGATTTTTTTTCATTTTTTCATCGCATCACACTCATTGTCCGGTAATTAAAAATAAAAACGAAAGGATAGGATCGTTACGTTTTTTTCAAATTTTATTTTACGAGACCCGGCAAACCCGGGGTGGCTGTGATATAGTCTGTGCAGTTGCAGAGCAATTGTCAGCCCATCTCGCGGACGTCGCTTGAATGCTAATTTTGACGTCCATCCGTCGTTTGAATATTATCGTCCAAAAATAATATACGATTTTTATAATTAGATAACAAGGTGTATCTTGTGTAATAATATATGTGGGTCGTGCCCCAACAACAACGTTAATAATGAACGGAAACAAAATATACACAGAGACAACAGAGAGAGGTCGACTGATATGATTATAGTATGAAATAAATAATATTAATTTGTTTCCATAAAATATTAGAAGGTTTTCATGATTGGTAAGTATTTACTGTTGTGAAATCTATTGGAATGTCGGTAGGTCAGTTTTTTAAATGTGGAGATAATGTAATGTAGGTCGTTGTGTAAATGTTTAGTTTAGAGACCTAAATGCCCATCGTTCAGTAATAATCTTAAGTCTTAAACAAATCAACTAAAATGCTTTCAGTGGGGGTGAATGTCGGACGGGTTTACTTGATCGCAGAAATTTTAATGCCGTATGATCAAATGAGAGCTTTAATATTGCTTTATATATGATGGTTTTGTGTTTGAGTCTCCTATAGGTTGTTAAATTGTATTATTTCTATATATGTAAAATATAAATAGGTACCTACTGTCAATGGGATCGTTTCGACTTGTCGATAAATTCGTGTCTGATCGGTTGAATTTTACATTTCGTATTGAATATGGCCAAAATTAAAGTGTGTATGGTGGTTGAATATTGTATAAAATTATGATGAGCTTCATTAATATAATAATGTTCATAATCATTCACAACATTTTTGTTTTGATCGTATTTGTTTAATACTTGAATTCGTCCATATTAAGTACTTTGTGATAAAGTATCAGTTCAAGGGAGGACAATCAATGTGGCAAACCGAATTAAAAAAAAAAATTGATTTTCTCTGAAGTATGACGTATACATAATATATGTCTTTGACCAACAAATAATCGGGCTGAAATAATAGGGTTTATCGCCGATTAAATCTAAAACAAGTGGAATTGGACATAATGATATTATAATAGTATATGTAAGTAGGTAGTAAAATATATATTTAACAAGCATTATAGCAATATCTAAACAGTTTGGAATCGACGGTTTTGCTGAATTTTTACTTTTTGTCGACCTACCGATATATGTGTAACAAATTATATTGAAAACAAACGGAAACCACATCTACTGTCACTAAAAGACTCTCGTTATCTATTTGGTTAAAAAAAAATACAAAATATTGAATTGATTTTTTTTTTAAATTTAAAAGTTTAATACACATGAAAATCTGCACTCCTAAGCCAAGCCAAAAGGCAGTGAGTAAAAAAATTGAGAAATTAGTTTATTGCAAGTACCAAAATGTTCCATAATTATTATCTGTGCACAATTTTTTTTTTTTTTTCAAAACTGCTACATTGTTGCTCACCGCCTTTTGGCTTGAGAGGTCTTTAGAGGTTTGAAACACGCAGTTTACATCCAGACCTGGATATACGCATCGTTCGAGATGTCCTCTAAAAAAATCGTAGTGTCATCACAAATATAAATAATATTATAGTTATTAATTACTATACGACGACGCATACACATCGGGCTCGCTCAAACGCAAAACACCGTTGGACAGGTACCTATGTATAATAGGTATATATTATAATATAGTATTATGTCGTCGACGTTTTAATATATTATTCAGACGGTTCGAAACGGTCAGTCTTGTTTTTACGTACGAGACGAAGAGGGGAAAAGGAGGGGAACGGAAAAAAAAACAAGAAATGCCAGCACAACATTACAACTTGGTGCAGCACATATATATGTAATTTACATATGTACATATATAAATAAATAATATTATATACGCGAAACGTGAGTTTATAAAGTACACATATACATATATATATATAATGTAATAATATATACATACGCTATATGTATATATGTGTTTTGGCGCCGGTCCGCAGTCCCAGGATTTACCCTCATCAGCAGCAGACTGCGGGGCATTAACATTTCGTGTCATTAAAAGCGACGAGGATAACTTTAAGCTTGTTTCTGAGGCTTATCTCGTCCGAACACATGCGTGAAACGTATATATATAAATATGGGTGTGTGTGTGTGTGTGCGTGTGGGTGGGTGTGGGTGTGTGGGAGGAGAGTGTATAATATATGAACTGCGGACGAGATAACGTGTACGGCGGCGGCGCGCGCGTATTATATTATTACAATAATAATATTCTAGAATAACAATAATAACGCAATAATGACAGCAATAACAGGCCCGCCGCCGCCGATATAATATTATTATATTAAAACAATATAATATTTCGGACGGAAAACGGTGTGCTATTACATGACACGAGACGATATAAAAAAAAATAAAAAAACATATTATAACGACTATAGGCAGGCACGTGACGCGCAGTGGAGTTTTGACGGACGTAAACCGATATTTTCTGCATCACCCCAGACGATTTAATCGCATTTGCTACTGTATAGCTTATTATTGTAGTGTACCTTGGGCTAGGTCATAGGTATATAATAATATCGTAGAGCCTTTTATTGGTCGCGGCCTATTATTACACTGTTAGAGGTTTTTATTTCATTCCCCGTCAAATGTACCAACTCTTACGATTCAAAATTTGTTCAATTCGTTATTTATAATTGGTGTACGGTGTTCAAAATTTATCTTAACTTTTCTGTTGTCCGGAATAAAAATTCTGATATTATCAGATAGGCAATCAAAAAAAAAAAAATTTTTGACATCCAGATTTCCTACTTTTCCGGTGGACTTTCCTAAAATTGTATTTCATAGAAACCTTCTCCATAATATACTCTTCCGTTTAAAAAAAAAATTGAAGAAGATCTGATAAGTTGTTCCAGAGTTTACCCTGTAAAAATATTTTTATTTCAATTTTATATAGTTGGATATATTTATTTTTTCTATCGCCGTGCAGTCAAACATCCGCAGCCAGTTTATGTGTTTTCATAAATCGTTTTTTAAATAATTAATTATAATATTATTGTAATATTACTGCTGTTACACATCACTTTAATTTTTCAATTCTGTTATCGATAACATAATATACTTAATACTATTATGATTTGATCGCATAGTTCTGCAAAGCAAAAATTATTTTTTCTGATAATTTTGGTGTAATAAAAATGTTATTTCAAACTGGTGCTTGACTAATACAAAATTATAAGCATTCGGAGTTTAATGGAGTGGAGTTGTAGTTTTCAATCGTTTTTCTAGGAGTCACTCCAGGAATGCTGCGTGTCGTAAATGTTATAGGTCCTAATGACTTTCAAATAAGGTAAAAACGAATAAATTCAGCATTTTTTTTTTAACTTACCTATGTAGTTTTAAGAATACAGAAAATAAGACAATGTTAAAGTCAAAATTTGTCGATCGACTTTAGTTTTAAAGTACACCCGGCGTGGTCACTATCACTCAGACTGTTATGTCATATGTGTCTTTATTATATTTTGCAACTTTAAATATTATATTATATT